TCGATGAAATCATTCAACCATTAAGCAAATAAATGTGAAGGCAACAGTGAACTTACAATCTAACATCAGTGTAAAGAGGACATGAATGAATATTCACAAGTCCAGGTAACATTAAAAATTTTTAAGGAACTACATAAGAGTTATTAGAAAAAAAGTACCTACAAGCTCACTCACTACCCTATTTTTCAAACTTTCCGTGGTTGTATTTTCCTTATTAAAAGATCACTTAATGGTGAAGAAGAGCGCTAACAGGGAATTGGGAGGGTCTGTGAGATGTTGCTGGCACTTGACTACAGGTCCATGGCATGGCCAATCGGGCCTGGGTCGTCCTGCTGGCTTCCCAGAGGTCCAGCAGCTGGACCTGTCTCCTCAGCAGTATCTCCTGCTTCCATTCCCAGGAGCTCTTCAGGCCACAGCAAGAACCACTGGAGCCCCCCTATCCCACAAGATTGGGGAAGAAGCGGGAGGGGACACAGAAGGCTGTCAGCAGGACATTTCATAGTGACCACCTTCCCTCCCAGTCCCATTCCAGCCTGAGTCAGAAAAGGAATATAGCCTTTTTATTGACTACTTTAAGTAGAACAAACTAAATACATATTTAACAGTTTTGGTTCATTTATACAGTACATTAAATAAGTTATGCACAGAATTAAGTAACAAAAGTTCCTATCAGAGTAAAATGACAAAGCACAGAAAAACCGGACTCTAGCGCATCCTGTGGGTGGTCTCACATTCATCATCCGCTTTCAAAACCACGCTTGGAGGCTTAGTTTTCGATTTATTTACATTACTGGCTTTCTTCTATGGACGGGGCTTTTGTAGCCTCACCAGGAACTTGGAAAGCCATGAAAGTGGACTGAAGGCCTCTCAGCCAAGCAGCACTTTCAACCATTTGCCTAATGCTTATTGCTGCTTCTCTCTGCCAACTCCTACCCAGGGACGGGGCTGTCCCTGCCAGCCACACATGCCTTATTTGGTATAAGCATGAACGAGTGTACACCGGGCAGCTGTGGGCCTGAGCAGATGGGGTCTGCAGGGGAGGCGCCATCTCTGGGGCTGTGGAGGGGAAGAGGGGAATGCAAGGTCTGCCCTCAGGCCTCCTGACCTTCTCCTGGCTCACGACGGAAAAGGTCACCTGCACCATCATCTTTGGAAATGAGCATGTCAGTGCACGTGGGCAAAGAGGCAGGCAGTCAATGTTTTGGTTTCACAAGAACTACAGACACTCCAAGTTGGAAGGGCCCTGTTCAGCAGCTGGCCCAGCTCCCCACCCCACCCTGGGCAGGACTCCTCCCCAACAGCTGTCTGTCTGGCTCATGCTGGAACAGTCCAGGTCCCTCTGGCTTTTCTTACATTTGGTTCAAACATGCCACCATCCAGTTCTCTGAAATAGCTAAAAACAAATTTAAGAAAGTTGGCTTGGTCTACTGACCCAGGAGCCTGGAAACCAGTTCTGAAGAAAGCCCCCAAGATGTGTTCTATTTTAAATGATTTACTCAATCCATAATCCCTTCTACAGTTTCCAGGACAAATGGCCACCTGGTCATTATTTATGCTTTCATTCTGAAGAACTCACTACCATACAAGTGCAATTGTGTTGTTGAACCGTCAAAGCCACCTGCTGAGATATCTTCTGGAACAAACCAGAACAAGGTCAACACCCTTTGCAAGCAGGTGACAGCACTGGAGATCAATTTGACTTTGGGACAAGGCCATACATAGTAAAGTGTAGATTTTCTGTCTAGAAGCTGAAGATGCTCATGTAGACATCAAGAAGCAAGGAGCTCCTGGTAGACCAACCAGCTCGGATGGGCAAAGGATGTCCACACTGCAGCCGATGCCAGACAGAGACCGAGCTGAGTAGATGTGTCCTGTTTCCAGACTTAGATCCACTGAGAGACATACATGACTCAGCACCATCTAAGAAAAGATCCACTCACTCTATGACCTCAGGGTCGCGTGACTGTGCCTGCGCAGATCTGCTAGAGCCCCACCCCTGGAGCGGCAGGGACCCTCCAAAGTGGAGTGCTCACACCTTATAAGGTGGGCTGCCTATTCCCGACTAGGTGGAATTAACCAACCTCTTCCCGAGTCAGTTTTCAGCACTGGATGGAGTCAGGCACGGTGCAGGCAGTGGGGACACAAAGGGCAACTGAAGATACAAAGATCGGGCCCAGCATCCCTGGAACACTTAAAGACGGCTCCCGTTTTGGCCACTTTTGGTATTCTCTGTTTCCTGCCAGCACTCCTCACCGGGCAGAGGACAGTGATGCCCCATCACTCGTCAGTGTCCCTCGGTGGGCGATGCTGAGCACTGGGCTCATCCTCCAGATGTGCTCCGAAGGGTGGGTAGGCACGTGTCATATCTGCTTTCGGTTCTAGGATAACATTGAAGAGTCTGTGACTGCCCTGACAACACCCTCAGTACCACCACTTTGAGCCCCTCTTTCTTTTTTGTCCCCCTAAATATTAACTATGAAGGTTGGTCCTCTAAGCAGCCTGATTATATTAAGATATTTTAAATCTAACTAGATGAAGGTGGGAAGCCTGAACTTGTACCCCTAAACTGGGTAGCTGGGGTAGTGTCAGTAGACACTGAAACCAAGTGGAAACCTGGACTCCCCCACTGCACCCCTCCACCCCCAACCAGAGAGCTGGAGAATTTCAGAAAGGAGGGAGCCAGAGAAAGGGATTCTTTACATGTAAATAGGAAGTCTTGGACAGACACCTTAGCAACCTATGTGTGAAACTGACTAAAATTAACACAGCAAAAGGTTTGAGAACTGAGCTACAGTGTGAATTACTGCCCAGGTTTTCAGCTTGGCCTCTGGGTAGCGCATGAGCAAAGCAGACTGGAACAGCGTTACAAAACCTCTGAAAACGAAGCTGTTATTGGAACCACAGTCCACAAAGGTAGGCTAGGACCTGCACACGCAACCTAAACTTTAGCTGTAGAAATGGGCACCAAGCCCTGATGAAGAGTTATTTTGTTGGTTTTGTCTCTTTATTCCACCTGAACTACTCTGGCTAGTCTTGTGGTCAATGAAGATTTAAAAGAACCTGCCTAGGCGTTCAACTTGCCGATGAAAAGACAGTGAGCTGAGGACAGACCCAGAGGACACCACGAGACATCCTCTTGCTATAACTGATTAACAGGTTCCACGACCTCCTCATGGGACATCCCACATCTTATGGAAATATAGGCAAGTCCTGTCTGGGGTACTGATTTCAAAAGTCAGGACACCCCCCAACTACTGCAGTTTAAGGAGTTCCACAGTAAAGTAACATTATTCTGTTAGTCTTTCTCTAGGTCTACTTTATGCAATGGAAATTCAGGTAATTTAAAGGTGCCTTATACAGAGTTTTCTTGTAAGATAGAAAATCCTTGGGTAAGGTAAATCAGGGATTGAAGGTTCTTAAAGTAAGATACACCTATTTGCAAGGACAATGCTACCTATGCTGATCCCTTTTCCTTTATGGGACCGAGAACTTTTATTTCACTTGGGTCAGTGCACAGAAGGTGGCCATCTAAACCTGAGCTTTCAAGGGCCAGCAGGAGCAGGGCCAACCAACTCACCCCAAATGATTCCTTGGGGCGAGTGGGTGCTGTAGGCTTGGAGGTGGAGAGTGGGCAAGTCAGGGTCCTTGGGCTCCCAAGGAGACCTGAATGGCAGGGAAGAATGTACGTGACCGTTCTTAACATTTTCAAAGGGGTGTAAGTGATGTCATGTTTGGAGAGCCACGTAAGCTGCTGGAAAACTCTCTGAAGACAGGAAGAAAAATTGGTCAGGCTCTCTCAAAATGGTTCTCACATTTCACAAAACTTCTCTTAGCCCAAAGAGGGTAGGTATCAAACAACACAAGAGAAGGGAAACTGAGATCGTATGCCCAATGGTAAACCGATCTAGTATGTATAATGACATGAAACCACAAGGTTTGAAGAATTCTTTCAGGTACAAGAAGGCTGCTCAGAAGTGACCAGGCCTTGACTGGTGAGGAAGTCCTAGCCACACCACATCATATCCTATGGGACAACTGCGGCTTACGGGGTGCCAAACAGAGACCACAGGAAGAAGATCCACACAGTGATCTGGACACGAGTGGTCTGAGATCAAAGGACACAGAACAAGACGACTGTGCAAACAGCCAAGCGGTGACAAAAGGTTCTGCATTTCCAATAGATGATCCATTCAATAACCTGACGATACTAGTTTGGCCAACATGCTCAGAGAGAACAGACTACCCACAATTGAGTCTCATTCTCCCTCAGACCAATCCATGCGCCGGAAACCATTTTCTGCACAAGCAAAATCAAAGAAGAGAGAAAAAAATGGGTCCCAAACTAAAGTAGCCAGCCAAGTTGGAAAATCTTGTCCAAAATGATCTGTGATGCCTGGCAGAAGTTTTATTTATTTTTTATTACTACGGGTACTTTTACTGAAATGGTGACTTCTTTCCTGTGGTTTCTGAGAATCTTCACAAGTCTGAACAGCAGGGTCGAGGAGGGAGCCTGAGTGCTGCTTTTTGCCTGCCCAAGTCTCCAGGGGGCCAATCAGTGGCATCTGCTGAGGATGAAAATGGGGCTCAAGGAACTGTCCGGCATGAGAGGGCCACTTCCCATCAGAGAGGGGCCTCTCCCACGCGTGCTGTCAGCCTCCAGGCTTCTGCTGCGGGAGGAAGGCAGAGGAGCAGACAACGCATGGGGTAAGCTGCCTCCAGCCTGGCTGGGCACGTTCGGCAGTGCTGCCTCAAGTGGCAGGGAGGGGAACTGGTCGTCTACACTGAAAAGGGGCCGGCCATGCCAGCTTCAGCTGGGAGAGGAACAAACCAGGAAGCCATGGAGGAGGCAGCTCCAGCCAGCTGCCTGTGTGCAGAGAGAATGGCACATTAGCTCCCCCAAAGACACAGAAGGTAACTGGGGCACATGTCCAGAGAGGCTGTGGAGCAATGTTTGCTGGGCTTGCTCTCTTCCTGCCTCCACTTCACTGCTTGCTGATGACCCAAAAGCCACTTGCAGTGGTTCAAATAGGCAGCCCCCCCGTGCGGTGCTCTGCCATGCTGCACGGTCATCAGGGGGCAGTGAGTCTGGGGCTCAGAGTCCGTTGGTGTCGATGGCTGTCACAGAGGCAGGTGTCGAGGAGCGCGAGGTGGTTGCCGAGGTCTTGTCCAGGGCCGGGCTTGGCACGCTGCAGTCGGCAGACCGGGCTGAGGAGCCCCTCCCTCCAGGAAGCAGTGGCCGGCTCTGGCTGTGGGGACTCTGGCCGTGCAGGTTCTGACCACAGAGGCGGTGGTGCCGCTCCCAGTCCTTATGCTGGCAGAAAGAGCCGCAGTATCGTGCGATATTGCAGCCACTGCAGGTCTCACTGGCTTTGCGGCCACAGTTCCAGCAGTTCTGCAAGACACAGGCATTGGTTAGTTGCTTGGATCTCGTGGGGCAGGCTTGTCATCACTCGTCACCTGCACTGGAGAAGAGGGGGCTGTATGGGAGGGGCGTGGGCTTTGGGGCTACACATACCTGTGCTTGTCCTGCCTCTACTGCTATCTGCTTTCTGAGTGTCTTTCATCTGCAAAACAGGAAAACTATCTACCCGGCTGACAGGACAGAGAGATGAGGGGTATGTGAAAACACCCACAGCACCATCACAGGGCAGTTGGAAGTCCCACCTCCCACTGGAGACAGCGACTCACTGTTTTGACTCATATTTTAATCCTCAGTGACCAAACCAAACTGTGTCCCAGGGTCCCCCCACCACAGCTATCTATTCTAAGATCACACATAACACGTGTGTTTAGACAATGTTTTCTCATCTTGATTGTTTTCACTGACAACACATGATCTTTTAAAAAATCACCTGCCAGGGTACCAAGAAGGGTGAACAGGAGTGGGGGTAGTTGTGCTACTTCCTCTGTGCCCATTCTCCTTCCAGTGATGTGTCTCGTCATAGGTGGCCTGGGGATCATGGGGATACCTCTGGCTTGTGTATGGGGGCCCCAGAGGTCTAGGTCAGGGAGTTTTTTTCACTATTCTCTGCACTTTCCTAAAGGGAGGGCAGGTATTGCCAGGGTTTAAATATAAACCCTGCGGGGGTGATGGTGGTGAAGTGTACCAGCTGAGAATGCACTAATTCTACGACAGAAGATACCAGCCAAGTGATGCTTGGTTAGAGCTAGAAGTAGCAGCCATGAAAGAAGCAGTAGCAACAGTATTTGAACAGATGATGGCGCACTTCTCCCCCTCGACTAGGGAAGAGCAGCATCACGAAGAATGCAGCCACCAAGCGCAGCTCCCAGCACCTGCCCCTTGGCGCTCTCCTTCCTGTAGGCTCCCATGAGGACTCCGCTGGGACACATGAATGTTCTACACCTGAGGTCTCCAGGGCCCACTTATAAGAGACAAGACTTATGGCATTGCCAGGTGAAGCTATCAGGAGGGGGCAAGGCTTTCTTAGGTGTCAGGAAGGACTTGAGTAGCCAGGACACCCACCCTTCCTGCCCCGTCCCTCGCCCCCAAGGTCTCCAGAATGGCAGAAGCCAGTCACGATGCCTGGCCTGACCACTCCTATAGTTAAAGACACAATTCCCCAAGAAACCAGGACACTTGCTCAAATGAAAAACAACGGACAAGTGCTGAAAAGGGCTCCCTAGCCTACTTCTTGTATTGCACAGATGGGACACTGAGGGCCAGTGGGCAGAGACTTGCCTAAGGTTATAAAATGATTACGTGGCTACGCAAAGCCTGTAACCCAGACCTCCTGACTCCACGATACTTAACGTACAAGCTTAGTTTCAAAGAACATGAGGAAGGACTGCAGATTCCCTTCTAACACAAGAGGCTTCTCAGGAAATACACTCTGGGGACTGCCCAAACTTGTCAACACCAACACCAGAGGACCAAAATAGGGGACAGAAGTAATTCTTAGGTTACATTTACAGATCCTCCAGCAAACTGCACTCCAGAGAATTTCAGTACTTTGGAGTCTGATAGGCTGACTCCAAACAATGCTTTGGCAGAACATTATCACTGGTGGGGAAGAACTCAGTTGTTGCCTAGATGGGGTTGCTGTGGAAACACAGGCCACGGGGTCAGCCCCAGGCGAATGGGAGAGCCTTTACTCCCTCTGCCCAAGTCGGCAAGTACATCTCAAACCGGGGCGGAGTATTAAACCACTGGTACTTTCACCTTGGCTGCCATTATATTTAAAATAGCTTATTTCATGATTTATGAGATACAATAAAACAAGATAAACAGCTTCCCAGAGTCAGGATCACAGAAACGCAGGAACAACGTGGTTAGTGTCAGAGCAGCCAGGGTGAACAGGACACTTTCACATTCTCTTTCCCTGTGGCTTTTCCCTGACTTAACCATGAGACTTTTTGCCAGATATAAGATAAAGGTTTATTGTTGTAGTCACCCTTCAAATCAGCATTCCTCGAAGCTGGAGCAACACATTTGGCAAACAGCCCTTTGTAGTTAATGGGAGAAGGTTATAAACCTTCTGAGTTACTGGCTAGGGAAGTCAGAAATGGGATTCCAGAATTTCCTCTGTCAACCACGGACCATCAGCTTATGCCAATATTACTCCAAGTATGGCCTGGGGACCACCTGTATCAGAACTGCTTGTTATTTTTAGTGTCAGCGAGTAGATTCCGACTACTAGCGACCCTGTATACAGCAGAGTAGAACTCTGCCTGGTCTTTTTGCGCCATCCTCTCATCTTCCAGTGCTATATCAGACAGTGCTCCACTGCTGTTCATAGGGTTTTCATGGCCAATTGTTTCGGAAGTGGGTGGCCAGATCCTTCTTCTTAGTCTGTCTTAGTCTGGAAGCTCTGCTGAAACCTGTCCACCATAGGTGACCCTGCTGGTATTTGAAATACCGATGGCATAGCTTTCAGCATCACAGCAACATGCAGCTGCCACAGTACAACAACCAAAAGATGAGCTGTGTGGTTCCCTGACCGCGAAATGAACCCGGGCCGTGGCGGTGAGAATCTTAACCACTAGACCACCAGAGCTGGCTAGAACTACCTGGGGTTTGTCAAAATCCCTGGAACCAATCCCAGACCTCCCTGACCTTACTGCAAATCTGGCCCAAAGGAGAAATGACTCCCCATCTTACACTCAATTGCTAGCCCATTGTGTTTGCCAGGAAACCCAGGCTGGGGACAGAAAGAGCCCTGTGGTGGAGATGAGGGAACCTCTCACTTCATCCCTCCATCCCAGGCATTATAGGAGAGATGCTTGGGTCTGGCCTCACAGGAGGCAGCTGTGCTGCAAGAGCAGGAGCTGCCACAGCTTATACACGTATGTTGTTCACAACCTAACAAAATCCCTTCCATCTGCATGGCGCACTGCAGTTTAAAAACACTTCCACAGCCATGATCGAATTCTATCTTTCTAAATACTAGGAGACTAGCAGGACAGGGGCTGACCATCAGAGAAGGAAACGGACTCCTCAAGGGTACACCGCCATTGTGAGGGGGAATGGGACTGAACTCAGGGCTCCTACCCTCCAGTCAGGGCTCCTTCCGCTATACCAAACCACCTCTCATAGGATGAACAAGAAGCTTCAAGGACACCTGCTGCACTTCAAGTAGAATTTTCTGTATGAAATGGAGGGAAATCAGCCCTCCTTGTTCAACGCAAACTCACCCAAAGCTTCGGCTCTGCTATCCCTGCCCTGTTTGGGAAAGAAAGTTTGCTGGGATGGATGCTGGTGTGTGCCTCACCTGCAGGCCACTCTGTGCACTGTTTAAAATCATAACTCCTTAAAAGCACAATCCTATAAATGGAAAGCTGGGATTTAAACCATGGGGTCCAGATCCAGAACTCATACTCTTAGCCAAAATGTTATACTCCTTCTTTGGAGATAGACATAATTAAAGATAAATATAGATATAGAAGTAGGTAAATATTGACATGGATGGCTATGAATATAGAATTAAATATAAGAGAAATAGAGATATCACTGCTCAAAAACAATTCTAAAGAAAAAGCATGAGAGGGGCCGGCCTGGTGGCCTAGCAGTTAAGTACGTGAGCTCCACTGCATTGGCTGGGGGTTCAGATCCTGGGCGCGCACCAACGCACAGCTTGTCAAGCCATCCTGTGGCGGCGTCCCATATAAAGTGGAGGAAGATGGGCACGGATGTTAGCCCAGGGCCAGTCTTCCTCAGCAAAAAGAGGAGGATTGGCGACAGATGTTAGCTCAGGGCCGATCTTCCTCACAAAAGAAAAAAAAAAAGAAAGAAAAAGCAGGAGGGGAGAAGGAAAAGGGGAGGGTTAAAGGAACTATTTCCTCACATTTCAGTGTCTTTGTTGGAGCACTACAATAAGGAATTTTTCCACCTCTTCTGTGATGGCCACATGATATTTAGGCATTTGATCTTCACACTGCCATGCTTGGCATTGTTATATTGAAAGGGATCATTTAGGGGCCGGCCTGGTGGCACAAGCGGTTAAGTGCGCGCGCTCTGCTGTGGCGGCCCGGGGTTCGCCGGTTCGGAGCCCGGGCGTGCACCACGCACCGCTTGTCAGGCCATGCTGTGGCGGCGTCCCATATAAAGTGGAGGAAGATGGGCATGGATGTTAGCCCGGGGCCAGTCTTCCTCAGCAAAAAAAGAGGATTGGCAGATGTTAGCTCAGGGCTGATCTTCCTCACAAAAAAAAGAAAAGAAAAAAGAAAGGGATCATTTAAATAGAATGAGAAAATAAAATTTCTGTTGTTTAAAAAAACAAGCCAACAAAAAACTCCAGTTCTTTATAACTTCAAGAGAATGTCCCCAAGAGAGCTGATCTCTCAACTGGTAGATGGGATCTATCTACTTTCAGAAACTGGCTTGTTTCAGGTCTCAAGTTTATCTTTTTTTTTTTTTTTATGAAGTATTTTGCTTTTTTTTTTTTTGTGAGGAAGATCAGCCCTGAGCTAACGTCCATGCCAATCCTCCTCTTTTTGCTGAGGAAGACTGGCTCTGAGCTAACATCTATTGCCAATCCTCCTCCTTTTTTTCCCTTTTTCTCCCCAAAGCCCCAGTAGATAGTTGTATGTCATAGTTGCACATCCTTCTAGTTGCTGTATGTGGGACACTGCCTCAGCATGGCCACACAAGTGGTGCATCGGTGCGCGCCCGGGATCCGAACCCAGGCCGCCAGTAGCGGAGTGCGCGCACTTAACCGCTAAGCCACGGGGCCGGCCCCTGGAGTTTATTTTAAAGCTGAAAAATACTAAAATACAAGTTACAGAAAAATTTCATTACCATTCCAAAAGGACTGTTATGATGTTTTTGTCATATGCTTTTTTCTTTCCAGTCAGTTCATTTTTGTCCTCATTGTGGTACAAGAGTGTCCTGTACAGAAGCATCACCAAGTCCTGGGCCCTGGGTGTGGGAGAGCTGGGCAGGTCTGCCAGATCTGTCATTTCAGTCCATAAAAGACCTATCCTATTTGTAAACAGACTGGATGCTACAGGGCCCTGCATTTCCTCACTCCTGCACCCTGACGTCAGCGCTGTGGGATTGTCAGTTAAATTCCCTGAGCCACAGTTTCCTCATTTATAAAATCGGAATCTAACAATACCTACCTTTTAGGGTCACTGTGAGGATCAAAAAGACAATACACACTTAGCTCTGTGTCTGGCACACAGAAAGCCCACTCGGTCAATGGTGGTCATCATTATCATTCAGTTCCACAAACTCTGTCTTTAGGGTGAGTTTTCAAAATTTAAACCAATTATGAGCCAATATGTATAAGAACATAATATAATAATTGAGGAACAAAACTCTTCTGGTACTGAATAAAAATGGTAATTATCTAGTTCAAGAGCAAACTGTTGTGCTTTACTACCCAGCACTTGAGAAGGAAGCAGAGGGCTTGGTCACTCCAGCTGCCCCAGCCCCAGCCCCTAGGGCTAACAGAGCTCTGACCTCCGTTGACTCTTCCTGCTCATTTATGACGAGGAAGGCGTCCTCTGCAGCCTGCCGTTTCACGTCTGCTATGGTTTGCTCCATCCGAGCTCTCTCTGTTGCAATCACTTCAAAGGCTTTTTGCTCTGCCTCAGCAACGGCTTTCTGTACTTCTGACATGGCCTGAATTTTCACCTTATTCACAGCTTCTTCTAGAAGAAAGTGACAATAAAATCAACTGGCCGAGAAATCTTTTCCCTCCCACTTCACACCATTTCTAAGAAGCAACAGAGCTGAAACAAGATGACTTGTCTAAAAATACACAAGGATGAACATATGACATATGCATTCACTTTTATTCTTATACTCCCTTGTCCACTCATGCAATCATTTGTTGGGTATGTAGATGGAGGTGGGCACTGTGCTAGGGGCTGGGGATACCTATGTGACTAAGATCCAGTCCATATTCTCATAACTGTTTGTGATCAAGTATAAAGATGGCTTAGGTGCCATGACATATGTTAGTATAAGACAAGAGTTCCAAGGTGAAAAGTAATCAGCTTTACAAGTGGCAAGGGAGGATCAAGAAAATGTGTCTTGGTTGAGATGGTAGGTAGAAATAATTTTTGGCAAGTATTGCATCCCATGCTAAGGAATTTGGCCCTTTTTCTAAAGAAAACGTGAACTCCTAAAGGGTTCCATGCAAGGAAAAAAGACTGAAGACAGAGATACCAACTGAGAGGCTAGGGCAATAATCTAGCTAACAGGAGAGCCTCTGAATTTAGGCAGAAGCAAGTGGCACAGAGGGGATGAGGCACAATGAGTTGGTAGCATCTAAGGGTCTGGAGGTGGGGGTAAAGGCGAAGAACAGTGATATGCAATGAAATAGATAATAATAAAATGCTGGTGTGGAGGCAAGTGAGAAGGTTAAGGTGCCTCTGGGGTATCCAGGTACAAATGACCAGAAGGCAGTTAGGAATATAGGAAAAACTGAACTCAACAGAGAAACATGGGCTCAAGATACAGATTTGGGCAGGTGCCAGGAGCCCTGGGCTTTCAAAGCCCTGGTCCAGTCACCATCACCTCACTTTGTTCCTAACCACTTCCTCCCATCACCACTACCCTGCTTGGTTTCCATAGAATGGCCATGCCAAACGACACACTCGATGTATTTGAGCCTCGGCCCTAAGTCCCAATGTGAATGACCTCCCTCCTGAGTCCACATGACTGAACAACCCAGAAGCCTAAGGAAACTCCCTTACTGCTTGGCTCTTGTACATGGCCCAGGCTCAAAGGAGGTCTAAACAGAGTGTTCAAGGCTGCCATCCTAGAACTTTCCATCTTATCGTTCCAGCCTTAAGAAAAGAAAGGGGGCCGGCCCAGTGACGTAGCAGTTAAGTTCGTGCACTCCGCTTCGGCAGCCCGGGATTCGCAGGTTCGGATCCTGGGTGTGGACCAATGAATGCACCGCTCATCAAGCCATGCTGTGGAGGCAACCCGCATGCAAAATAGAGGAAGACTGGCACAGATGTTAGCTTAGGGACAATCTTCCTCAACCAAAACAGGAAGATCAGGGCCAATCTTCCTCACCAAAAAAAAAAAAAAAAAAAAAGAAAAGTTTTCACCCAAAGGCCAAGAAGGATGCTGAGTTGACTTGACACTGAACTCCATGCTTCCTTTACTCTTGGTGTCCACACAGGTCCACTGGCCCACCACAGCTACCCTTCATAGCCTCTTATTAGTTACCAGGTAAGTTTTAAGTGTCTCTTATTGAGCCAACATGATAATGCCCTGAAGTACATTTTACCCTCTCAGTTTAAGGATCAATCAATAAGAATCATAGTTTGGATAAATTACCTTGCTGAAGGTCATCTAGGGTCACAGATGGCACCATAGCAGAGCAAGGACTCAAATTTAGCCGGCCTAACACCAAAGGTTGGCTTTTAACCAGAGTTAACCAAAGGTACCTCCCAAGAGGAAAATCACTAGTTATCAAGGAGATCTTGTACACGGTAATCTTTCTCTCTACCTTAACAATTGCTATCTTCATTTCCCACAATTCTATTCCACTTCTCAATAATATAATATACATTTCCCCATTTTTAACTGCAAAGATTTTTCCAAGTTGCTATGTAGTTTTCAAAATTATTTCTAATGGTAATATAATATTTTGCAGTGGTGTCACATGGTAAATTCACATAACCATTCATAGATATCTGGGCATTTCCCAGGTTGCCTCTTCCTTGCCCCAAGAATATACTAAAAATAGTGTATACACACTGCTGCGTGTATATATACACACTGCTGCCTCTTTAACAATTTGTGTGTCTAAGTCTGGATCATTCACTTTTGAAAGGAAGGCTTCAAAAGCATGAAAGTGAGGACTCATTTCAAGAATTTGTATGTACTCATGATTAGTAACACAATAAATTCATATTTAAACCTCTGATGAATTATTTAGTGTCATTTGCAGGATCCTCCAAAAATGTGTCAATAATTGGGTATTAAAGACTTTGGGAGCTAACTGATTAAGGTTGCTTTATTTTGTACTTTACTGATTGCCAGTGAGAATAAACATTTTGCAATATGTTTATTTGTACTTCTCATAACATAATTTGTCTGTTCATATCTTTTGTCCCTTTGCTTATTATGGTTTGGAGGCTCTTGAAAGAGTCTTTATGAATCATAGGTATTTGCTTTTTTGTAGAAGTAAATTTTACCTTAGGACAAAAACCAAAATCTGTACTGGACTAAAAAAAATGTTACTGAAAAAAGGTGGCAAGAAGGAAAAGGTGGCTAGTATTTGGATAAGGGAAATCTTAGGGGCGTGAGGTTAATTCAATTCCCTATCTTACCATGACAGGCAGTCCCCACCCTCCTCTATTCTTGTACAAAATGAGGTCAACCAAAAACAGTCTCGATGAAGCTAGGGACAGTGAAGGTGCAAGGAAGAGCAGAATGAACCAAATGTGGTAGCGTGTCAACAGTGTGTGTCAATTCTAATGTGGAGAACAGGCAGAAATGAATTAAGCTATACGCCCAGAAACAGGGCATATAAATAGGGCAAGAAAAGTTGGTTACTTAATGTCTCAGTGTGACCCAGTAGAAGGGTGTGAAAGCGACTGGCATGGACTATAGGGAGTCATTCCAAATTCCTGACCTGCAAAGTAACATGAGAGGCAGGCCAGCTGTGTGGCAAAGCCAGAGGAGAGGCAGGAGCCTAGAGCTCTATGAGGAGGAAGTTATGAGAAAACCACCGTTCCCCTCAAATAAGCGCTCCAAGCTCACATAAATTAGTGAGTACATGCAACCTATAAGCAGACAGACACATACCAGTTTTTTTCCAAAACTCCACAGGTACATATCCTGTTGTTGGCCTACTGTTGAATTCCCGCTGAGAATCTACAGAAGAGAGATAAACAGCATAGGCTCAGAAGCTATCTACAGTTGACATGTTTTATTTTTATGAAAAATTTATCAGACCTCTCATTCACCACTTAGAAAGATCTAAACATACACGCTCATTTAGTGCAAAAAATATTCGATAAGGGATAAAAACAGATTATAAAATAGTACACTTAATTTTTAGTTTTAAAACACACACATGTGCGCACGCACACACACATGCCTCAAATATTAACAGTATTTCAAAGTAGTGAGATTAAAAGTGATCTTCCCTTTCTTCTTTTTACTTATCTATATGTTCTTATTTTCCCTTATGAACATGTATGTATTTTTAAGGTACTCCCTAAAATATAACTAGAGATAAAAATTTATGTGTATATAGGTTTGTGTGTCCATATCCAATTTAATGGTCTCCATCACGCACAGGTTGCTGGTAACTGCTCTGTAGATATGTCAGGGAATATGATTTTTGTTTCTTGTCAACTCTGAATCCTTAACAGGTAATTTAAGGTTTCCTTTAAAGTTTCTTAAAATGCTTATAAGCAAACAAACAAACAAATAAGCAAGTAGTAAAGAAAATACTCCAATCTCGAAGAGTGTATTTCAAATGTACCACCAGAGGCACCCAAGGGGATGGCTGGGAAGGGCACAGGGGTGAGAGTGACTTATCATATACGTTTATTGTGATTATAAGATATAATATTTTATAAGAAATGGTTCCATTGCTTTAAAAAGTGTGAAAACTAATTAAGGTAATTTGAAATTTTTTCAATGAGTCAGTGCCAGCCGACTTCCTCATTTCCTTATGCTCTATTGAGGCTAATCTGAAAAGTAGATTTTATGCTCTGAACACTTACTAACCCATGGTGCAAAGAGGAATCAGGGGAACAGTCAGTGTGGCAGGGGAGGCCAGCTTGGCACGAAATGTTTGCCTGAGGAGCTTTATAAAAATGGTTAGTCCTCATGAGAATGCCCAGGAATTGGCTGTAAACTGGTCTTGGATAGGGAAGGAATCTCTCCTATTCCAAGAGCTATCAGCACAAAAAAACTACTTCTGTATCCCGTGGAGTTATTTGGGGATAATGAGATTTTTTTTAAATCATGTAAAATACCCAAAAAACTTACTATTTTAAAGTGCATAATTTAGTGACATTTAGTACATTCACAATGTTGTGCAACCATCATCACTATCTAGTTCCACATTTTCATCACCCCAGAAAGGGAATGTCGTAAGTTTAAAATTTTGATAGTATTAATACTTTCTGGAATGCTGGGCTCTCTAGGAGGTGCTACTACTACTGCCTGTAAAAAGAAAACTGCAGGGCTCTCTTCAACATAGGTGAGGTTCCTGATTCATGCAGCCATTTGTCAAAGACCTAGAATCTCAAGTATGAGATTCATGAAATAAATATAGGGAAAAATCTAGGACCAGAAGAGGCAAAGTAATACAAGCTAAGAAGAAGGTAGTGGATCAATTTCAACTGAGTCTCAAATAAGGAAAACCAGTGAGAAAAAGAGTTGGAGTGTGTAGATGAGCTGTCATTGGTGTTAAATGGCAGAAAAAACACTATTTTACTTGTGGGGACATGGAGAAGTCTTGACCAACTTAAGGAAAAGCCACTTCACTTCAGTCATCAATACGCCCTTGGTTACATCCTTTGTATGTGCCCAGTCCTCAGCACTTTATTTCTCTGACAGCTGTAAAAGGTGAGATGCACTTGACCCTAAAGAATTTCTCGGCTTACTCAGGACACACCAGGAAGCCAGGGACATTTTCATGGTATTTCCAGAAGCCAGAGTAACTATTTTTATGTATCTAACCCAGAAAGAGAAGTCAAGATTTTCAGCTGGTTCGCTAAGAAAACTAGAGTCTTGGAGGCTACTGTAAATGAAAGGCCAGACACATTAACACAAATAAATGGGTCAGAAATGGGGAACTAATAGTTATGCAGGAGAATGCTCTAGTTCTTAGGAGAAACAGGATGAAGCATTAAAGCATGAGTGTCGTGATGGTTTGGGGGAGACTGTACCTACCTACCCACCCATCTATGAGGGGATACAGCAAATGTGGCAAAACGTGTAAAACTGAAGAATCTAGGTACAGGGCACATGGGCATTCACTGTGCTCCTCTTTCAACATTTCTATGCGTTTGAAAAACTTCAAAATAAAAAATTGGGAAAAATTTACTTTAAATATATGCACAGGAAATTCTGTAGGAACACACTAATTTGCTAATAAGTGAGCCTAGGGGAGCAGGAGAGAAAAAGTGGGGTGCGGGCAAGATTTTCACAATTTATATGTTTCTGTATTGCCTGACCTTTTTACAATGCAATTCTTTTGTTGAAAAAAAAAAATTCCACTTAAGAATAAACAAATTAAAATATCCAAGAAAACAAGGTAGATCTAACATTGCCAGATATTAAAACACATTCTAAAGCTATAATAATTAAAAGTTTGGTATTATATTGATGCAGTATAACATAATCACCAAGTGTGTGAGATTGTTCTGGAATGTCACACTTGCAATCCTGACTTACTAACTATATGATCACTTTGGCCAATTTTTTATCTTATTTAAGCCTCAGTTTTGCCATCTGTAAAAGAATATAATATCTCCTTTATCTCAACAGGCAGTTTTGAAAACACATCTAAAAGGTTTAGCACTGGCTGGAACATAGTAAGCTATTATTACCAAAAGTGATAACTAATATAGTCAGAAGGACAATGAAGGAAACAGACTGAAGTATTTAATAAAATGTAACATCCGACAATTACATCATTTCAATAGATAGAAGATGGGTATCATTAATTGATGGTAGGAAAATTTAAACTACTTGGAAAAATTTAAATTTATGTATTTAATAATCAAACACATAAAATTTGAATATAATATAAATGAAATTTATTGTACCTTGCTTGGGTAGGGAATCAAGGTCAAGGAACAAACCATAAAGGAAAATGACAGATTTGACCCCATAAATATTAGCTATCCTAGCCATCAAAACAAACCAAGATCAAATGAACAAAAATGCCTATATCCACAATTCATTTATTTTACAGCTAAGAATATATCCTAAAGGAAAAATGCAAGCTATCTGAAAAATTCTTACATAGACTGATTTTAAAAATTGCATTTCTCACTGAAAAACAAAAACAAAATAAGAAAAAAAACATAATGTTCAGCAACAGGAATAGCTTAAGGAAATTGTAGTATATTTACATGGTAGAATATTGTATAGTTATTAAAATTATGTTTATAAAATCTTTAATGATGTGAGATGATCTTAACATGAATGAATACGTTTTCAAAGAAATCAATACAAAGTTGTAATACAGTATTCTCAGATACATTTCAAAATTCTTCAGTTGGAATGATGAGCTAGTAAATTCTGTATATGTTTCTGTATTTTCTGCAATAAGCCATACAGAAAAAAAAAAGATACTTACCTCATGAGGTTGCTCTGAAAATTAAATGGTAATGTAGAGAAAGGAATGGTTCTCAACTCTGGGAGCCCAGGTCCCATCTCAGACCAATTAAATCAGAATCTCGAGGCGGGGTCCAGTGTTAGGAGTTTCCCAAAAGTCCCCAGGTGGGTTCTAATGGGCACCCAGGGTTAACCACTAAGAAACGCACCTAGCTTAGAACCCAGCCTTCATGGTAAAGGTCTTCCAAACCACACTAGGACATTCACTTCTCTGTAGGTCATGTACATTTTCTATTGTAACAACGGTAAAGTGTCTTTTTTTTTAGCTGATTCTTCCTTCCGGTATTGCTACATCTTGATTTTTTCAGCTGCAGATATTATTGATTGACTAGCCATTTCAGTAACAAATAATTTCCTTCTCTTTTAACTCCCAACCCCACCCCACCACACACACTTTCACAATTCCTTCCTCTTCCATGCCCCCAAATAGAGATATACCCAAATTCTGCTACATCAATAGTCATCCTTGGAAACGCTAATCACAGCTGAGTCACGAGGTTCAGATTCTATGAATCTTTTTCTCTTCCTTGACAAGTTTTCGTTTTTCTCAGAGTGAATAATTGCCTTGTTTATTCATGCACTAAGTTTTTTATGTAATTATTTCTAATCCCATCTCAAATTCTCTTCCTACTGTGTAAATATTTATAAAGTTCATTTTCTTAGAGAAATCTCCAGCCAGCTCCTGGGCTCGTCCAGTCTGAGCTGGCTGCTTCCCAGGCTTGCTGTGCCACTGCTGCTCGGCTCCTCCTTCACCAGCGTAGGGTTTCCCTCTCTCTCTCTTTCCACTTTCTGGTTTACTTCTCGCATTGGGGTAAATGCCATCCAACCGTGGTAGACACCATGATAAAGGGTAGATGGGAGGTACATTTTTCTAAAAATTCTGGGTTGTTAATCTAACACTTAATTGTTTTGGTTCAGTACAGAATTCTAAGTTAAAATAACTTTCCTTCAGAGTTGTCTTCTAACTTTCAATGATGCTAACTCATAAGTCTGTTTCTTCCACTGTGTTTACTCAGTAGACTAGTTCAACCTGGAATACTGTCTTTCAGTTCTAAGTAATTTTTTTGAATTATTTCAGTAACTATTCTATTTTCTCTTTCTGTTCTGTTCACTGTTTCTGAAACTCATATGATTTGGATATATGAGTTTGATAGATCCTCTAATTTTCTTATCATTTTTACTCCAGGGATATTAACAATATATTTCCCTGAAAAGCTGCTGTTAACTCCCATTTCTGTTTCTTTATTTTGGTCTCCATCTTTAATGTTAGAGGCTTTCCTAACTAGAGTTTGGTCACCCCCTTGACTGTTTGCTAATACATGACACTAAAAAGCTTCATGAAAGCCCCATGATTGTGGACAGGGCTTATCAATTGTGGGCTTGATTATAGGCAGCTTTCCCAAGACTGTCTGATTACTGGACTCATTAAACATATATTCAGATTCCTGGGTCCCTGAATCATAATCTCCAGGGAAAGGCCTGGAATACGTATTTGTTCTAAACACCTAGGAGACTCTCATTCTCAAGCTGAGTCAGTTTCTTCCCTCTTTTTTTTAAACTTTAATTGCAAAATATTAGGTGGCTAACGTTCATAAAAATACTAACGTACAATTTAATGAAAAATTATAAAGTGAACACCCATAAACCTCCAGATTAAGAAAGAGAACACTTCCAGCAATCCCAAATCCCCAAGAAGTGAGTAACTCACAGTAATGTTTAAATGATGCTAGCCAGACTTGCAATCCTGTCTTGAGAACAGCTGATCAAGATGATGAGAGCTCACTTTGCACTCTATATCATCTATATTCTCCACCCTACACCCTAGAGGAAACCACTCTCCCAAATTCTAAAATAATTATTTTCTTGTTTTTCCTTATGGTTTTTGCACTTATTTATGCATCCAAAATATATCCCTTGGTGTCTGAACAAAATCTGTTCCTGAAAATACCGTGAATCACAAATTTTCAGATAGAGAGATCTGGTATTTCATTATTTTAAATGGGAAAAGTAATAATGCTATCTAGTCTCTAGTTGATTTCTCTCCAAGTCACCAAAACACTTAAATACTAAATACTTAAATAACAATCCACCAGGGGTTTCTGCATAACCCCAAACATTTAAAACACTAATTACTGGGGCCAGCCCTGTGGCCTAGTGGTTAAGTTCGGCGCACTCCACTTCGGCAGCCTGGGTTTGGTTCCCGAGTGCAGACCTACACCACTTGTCTGTGGCCATGCTGTGGTGGTGAACCACATACAAAATAGAGGAAGACTGGCACAGATGTTAGCTCAGGGCAAATCTTCCTCAAGCAAAAAGAGGAAGATTGGCACCAGATGTTAGCTTAAGAAAAATCTTCCTCAGCAAAAAAAAGAAAAAGAAAAACACACCCACTAATTATATAAAAGTCATTGGTGAGTATATTTGTGTGCTATGCCCAAGAAAACTGCCCACTGTAGGACTACTACACTACTAGTGCTACTCAAAGCGCTGGTCTGCAAACTGTTATTGGTGCATGAAGAGATATAGAACTTATGCGAGAATGCAAAACAATTATGTCTCTAAGCACACTGTTAGTTTAGAAGACTCTTCTCAAAGTGAAGCAAATGGTGCCCAACACATCCTGAGGCAAGCACGTCGCATCATCACAGACCAGTAACAAGCAGTTTCTGGAGTGGTTTTGGTCCACATTTTGAATAGCACGCTTGTTTAGGATATGAATTATGCTTTCTTTCTACACTGCAATAACCATGTACTATAAGAGAAATCAACAGTGAAATTAAAACACTAAATATGTATAATATGCACAAATAAAGACACTAAAAGATACTAAGTCAGTCAGATTGACAGTGACCTAAGAAAACAGAGAAGGAAACACTGGGATCCACGAAGAGCTAAACCTAGAGTGACAATATAATTGATCATCCCAATTGTCCTCATTTTTGAGAGCGGGGGAGATACCAGTAACAATTATGACAGGATAATAGGCATAAACTACAAGTGTCCCTGCCAAATCCGAACATACAGTCACCCTAGCTAAACCCTCAAGCAAAAGGTGAAAAAGATGAGTAGAGGTTAATCAAAGCCATGTTTAAACGGCACTAGCAAGACCTACAATCCTGGCTGGAGAAGAGCTGACTCGTGACCACAGCTCACTGCATTCTGTGCCTTCTTAGCTGCATGGAGGCAGACTCATTGATGGAAGGTCTGTGATTTGGATGATGAACTTTCTGCAAGCTGTTACAGGGAATATTTGTGAAGGTTCAGACGGTGAGGGATACCTGAGGATTAGCTTTGAAGTTTTTATAAAAAGAATCACACTGCAAGTATTCTTTGATGTCTTGCTGTGCTAGATATCCCACAATGGTGCCAATCTATGGCTGGCCTAAGAGTCACCTCTGCGGGTGGGGTGGGGAGTGGGATCCCCTAGTTACCAGTGTCTTTGCCTCAATTTTTGTAGTCTTTTTGAGACTAACAGCCGTCTTCTGTGGAACACGCTAGGTCTGCCATAAGAAGACATTCATTCTCGTTGGTGAAAACTGAGAACTTAAAGTGGGTGGGTGAGGAAAGAGTGATCAGAGAGGGCCCCTCACTCAGCGATGCCTTTGGATAGGGCACCTTTTCGGTTACTAGGTGAATGTGACGGAACATTTTTAGGGGAATAGCTGTGGTGTCCTGCAAGTACCCTGGACTGAGAGAACAGTGGCTCTAATCTCTGCTGCTTCAGACTGGGAAAAGGCAACCCAGCTTGGTACAGTAAAACGTTTTGTAGGAAGCAGTCAGGCAGTGGTTGATAAATGGTATTTTCCTGGATGGGGAGCAGGAAAAAGAGGAGGGAAGATGAGGTAAACACTTTTCAGGGCTACTATGAGGAATAAATGTGATGTACATGAGAGTACCTAGTACATTCAGCCAGGCTGAATTTAACAACCAAACACCTTTTGATTATCACCTAGCACATATATAGAGAGAAAGTTAAAAAAAGAACAAAATCACAAATATTCTCATTCTCCATGAGGAAGACAATATGTCTTGAATGTGCCAGATACTCAGTCTTTGACATATTTTCTCACTTACTCTTCATAATAACCTGGGTCTCTAACTCCACGATCTAGTACCATCTTCCTTTAAAGTAAAATATAAAAAGCCTTCCTTGCCATGTTAGGTGCGACTCTCCCCTTACCATTGCTGAGAGAATCTGCGCTCCCAGGACTGTGCTGCCTGGAGACCAACTCGCTCCCCGTTTTCCTCATCTCTGTGTTTTCGTTATATCGTCTTTTCCAGTAGTTGAGTTCTTCACGATCAGATTCCTGACAGCGCCGCAGAACTGCCATGGAGCGCCTTGTTTTCTCTACCATTTCCATAATACAATTCAGGGCCTGAGCCAGAGAGGAAGTCAGGCAAAGGCAAGGTGAAGACATTCAAGCAACCAATGTCAAATATCAAGAACAGGTAAACTATAAAGAATGAAAGTTTAAGTATTTTACAGGTTTAGCAACATTAAGTTTACATTTGAAAGCACTTCTCATTGCTTCTTTTTAAATATATATATATATACACGCACACATTTAATTTTTTTCTTTTAATTTCAAAATAACATTTTTTGGATTCAAGGTTGAAGCAGCCAGAGTCTCATTATAATATGGTCCTTTAAAGACTATGGTGTAACCACATTATATATCTGCCCAAAACATACCAAGACATCTGATAAAGCCGGAGATTTATATATAAGAATGCAATCAGAAAAATAACCTCCAGAGACATCATCACTCAAGAAGGAAAAGCTACTGTATGTGTATTTCAAGCAGGTGCTACATCTCCTCTTCCCTCTTTAGTGAGAGGGGAATCTCTCTTCCACTGGGACAGAGAACTGAGGCTTACATTTGGTACTACTATACTAATTCTCATTTGTATTTGGAGAAGCTCCATTTATTTAAGATTTCCTATATACCAGGCGCACCTTACATATTATTACAACTCTCTTATGAATTCAAATAATACAGCTTCTTATTTTTTTAAGATACAAAAATTAAGGCTAAAAATGGTGAAGCAACTTGCCTACTACACAAAGGTAGGAAATGGCAAAGCTGGGACCTGAACTCACAAACCTATGTTTTTAACCATTATACTACATGACTTCATCTGGTTATGACCTGAAGCGATCACCCCATCACAAAGATCTGGAAATTCTCTTAGCTCTTCAGCTGGGGGAGTAGTAGATAAATCAGCTTTTATTGCAAAGACACTGTGGCTCTGGTTAAGCTCATTTTAAGCACACATACTCTACAGTATACTCAATTACTATTTGTAATACTAAGAATTAAAAGTAATAGGGGGTCAGCCCGGGGTTCACAGGTTCGAATCCCAGACGCAGACCAATGCACCGCTCATCAAGCCATGCTGTGGTGGCATCCCACATACAAAAAAAATAGAGGAGGATGCGCACGGATGTTAGCTGAGGGCCAATCTTCCTCAGCAAAAAGAGGAAGATTGGCAACAGATGTTAGCCCAGGGCCAGTCTTCCTTACACACACACACACACAAAAAGAATAAATAAATAAAATTAAAAAAAAAAAGAATTAAAAGTAATAAATACTTAGGAAAATTATACACTGTAAGATTCTTACATGATCAAGATGTTTCCATTCATCAGCCCATTCCCTTTCTGTCAAACGGTGGTCTACCAACTCATCTTGATAGCCTCCATTTAGACCTATTAGAAATTAGAGATTAAATTTGAAGATAGAGGGAAGAATACAGTAAACAGAATTTCACCAAGTAAATACACACACATTCATACCAACTATGAGAACACTACTAAGGCAATGATTCATGATGGGAGTATGGGACCCACAAATAACATAAAACCAACAAAAAGTCACCACTTGGAATATATAACAAACTCCTACAAATCAATTATGAAAGACAAATATCCCAAAAGAAAAAGAGGCAAAAGAAATAAATAGGTAGGGCCGGCCCCGTGGCTTAGCGGTTAAGTGCATGCACTCCGCTACTGGCTGCCCAGGTTCGGATCTGGGTGCACACCGACGCGCTGCTTCTCTGGCCATGCTGAGGCTGCGTCCCACATACAGCAACTAGAAGGATGTGCAACTATGACATACGACTATCTACCGGGGCTTTGGGGGGGAAAAAAAAACCCCACAGAAATAAATAGGTATATCACAGACAGGAAAGTACAGAGGGTCCATAAACACATGAAAAGACACTCAAACTTATTAGTCATATAGAGCAAATAAAATCTTCACTGGGCCGGCCCGTGGCTTAGCGGTTAAGTGTGTGCGCTCCGCTACTGGCGGCCCGGGTTCGGATCCTGGGTGCGCACTGATGCACCGCTTCTCCGGCCATGCTGAGGCTGCGTCCCACATACAGCAACTAGCAGAACGTGCAACTATGACATACAACTATCTACTGGGGCTTTCGGGAATTAAAAAAAAAGGAGGCGGACTGGCAATAGATGTTAGCTCAGAGCCAGTCTTCCTCAGCAAAAAGAGGAGGATCAGCATGGATGTTAGCTCAGGGCTGATCTTCCTCACACACACACAAAAATAATAAATGATAAAATCTTCACTAAGATAGCATTTTATATCTATATATTATAAAAAATTAGACTGTTAGATAATACTAAGTGTCAGCAAGGATACAGCACAATGCAAATGCTTAACCACTACAACTAGAGTAGATACTGTGCAAGCACTTGGAAACAACTTAGTATTACCAAAATATTAATTTTTGCATGGTTTTGATATATACTGAAATTTGCAGGAATGCAAAGACTGTGTGAATCAAGGGAATATAAAATTAAGAGTTTCCACTATTTTGAAAAATCATGTCACATATTGCAACACTGCCCCAAGTATTTGAGAATTGTTAATATAACACACCTGTTATCACTCTGAATTTATGGGTGTTGTATTCTGTGCAAGCAACTGCTTATTTGATTATATCTTCTTCTATAGTCATGCCTGAGAACTAATATATTATAAAATACTTTCTTATATATTACACTTTAGAATATTGATCCTAAAATTATGGGTCTAAGGTAGGCTATAGTATCCATAAATTTCATTTTAGGAGAATGGAGGGGGAGAGGGTGTTACAACATATTTGTTTACAAAGGGCCAGGGGAATAAATGGTTTGGTAAGAGCTACAAACATACTATGGCATACGTTTTCAAAAGAGGACTGGGGAAAATCAAGGAATCTGTAATCAGCCTGGAAGACAAATGGTTAAACCTGAAATAAACCATGAAGGTAGAGGATGAAAGGTCTTTCAAGTAGAACACTTCAAGATGAAAAAAAGTTTTTCTAAAATTGTTAGAAATGCAAGGAAAATCTGACCAAAACACAGTTATAGCTAGTTTTTAGGATACTTTTTTCTCAGAAAGTAATACATTAAACTGGGAAAAAATGTGTATGAATATAGAAGAAATCAACAGCAAATCTAGTTTTTAACATAAAAAGAGAGACATAGGCAGAAATGGGATTGGATCATACAGAACAGCTGCTAAGGGAGGCATCATAACATACTGGCAATGTGCCCAAGCTTTGGGCATCTGACAGCCAGGGTCTGAATCCTATCTCTGCCACTTTCTAGCTATGTGATTTTGGCCACAGTTCCTTCATCTCTCAACTGTTAAAAGGGGATAACAATTGCATGGGACTGCTATGAGGATTAACTGAGATAATGTATGTACACCACAGTCTACGTGGTACCTAAGACTCAGGAAATGTTGGTAGCTGAGAACACCATTGCTGTCACGGCCCTCACCATTCAGCCACCACTGCAGGAAGCCAGGGTCCTACTGTGGGGTCCAAGCTCCTGAAAAATGCTAGTGAGCCTAAGTCAGAAGAGGGATGGGCAAATGTGTTGCAATTTTTTATTCCACAAGGTACCCCACGAATGGAAATGGAGGGAAAACCCTGGAAGCTGGTAGCCTTTCGTTCTCTGCTCTGACACACGCTCAGCAGTTAAACTCCAAAGAACCTCCTGCAGTAAACTTGAGTACATGACACAAGAGCTCTTGTCCAAAATTGATCACGTGAGGTTTGTTAGGTGCCTTTTTGTTTCTTCCTAAATTTAATGGTTACAGAGGAGGCATGTGCCAGGCATTCCATATGTAACAATGACCCAGCACAGGTGGTGGTTATCTCCATTTTAGAACTGAGTTACCTGAGGATCAGAGAGCCTTGCATAAGATCACACAGCTAGTTAGGATGCACAGCCAAGATTTAAATTTAGATATGCCTTACCTCCTGACCTAAACAACCATGCACTTTCACCTCCAAGACCACATATTTTACATCTTTCTTAAATTTAAAAATGTTTCATTCCGAAATAAATTCAGACTTACAGAAACGTTGCAAGAATAGTACAAAGACTTCTCATTTACCCTTCACCCAGATTTCCCATATGTTAATATTTTACCTCATTTACTTTATCATTCTCTATTTTTTTCTGAACCATTTGAGAATAAGTGATACCCCTTTATTCTTAAATATTTCATTGTGTATTTCCAAAAATTTGTTTAATTCTACTTCTATCATATAATGATGATAGCAAGAAGGTATGAAGTAAGATCAATTTCAAATGAGATCACTACAACTCTAATATTCTTTTTTATGTATAACACTGCTTTAGCTTACCTGTGGGAAAAAGCAACAATGATATTATTTTGCTTTATCACTGAGTAGAAAAGAAACTCAAGGATTCAATCTGAAGTTAAATCATTACCATGCTGCTTACGTCACTTACTAAGATTGTGGTGTCTATCACGAACTTCTCGATGTTCTAGCATCTTATTGGGTTCACGATACAGGTGGGAAGTTGCAATATCTTCTAAGGTGTAGTGCTGAAGAGGCGGAGGAGTAGGATGAAACTGGCCCCCAGGATTCATGAGGGGCACAGTGAGGGCAGGACTGTGCCGGGGAGCAGGGCTGATGGTACACACTCTCTTGGCAGGAGGCTCAGGAGCAATGGTATCTCTTTCAAAACTACTCTCTTCCCTCCTGTAAAAGAACCAGAAGTACATATCTGAGCCCGTCAACAAGTGTTCATGTAAACCTTTCCTGAGCACCCACTTTGTGCTAAGCACTCTCACAAACAAGAAACCAGTAAGGAGGGGCCGGCCCAGGGGCGCAAGCGGTTAAGTGCACACGCTCCGCTGCGGCGGCCCGGGGTTCGCCGGTTTGGATCCCGGGCGTGCATCGACGCACTGCTTGTCAAGCCATGCTGTGGCGGCGTCCCGTATAAAATAGAGTAAGATGGGCACTGATGTTAGCTCAGGGCCAATCTTCCTCAGAAAAAAGAAAAAAGGGGAGCATTGGCATCAGATGTTAGCTCAGGGCTGATCTTCCTCAAAAAAAAAAAAAAAAGAAAGAAAGAAAAGAAAACAGTAAGCAAAGCTTTGACATGAGGCACGAACTGAAATGTCTGAAACTGAATGTCTTCAAGGACCAAGCAGATAATGGAAACTGCTGCTTTATTCCAGCAGTAAAAGAGAGGTCAAATCCATTCATAACCAGGCAGAAACATCTAAACCTCATGAAGCAAAGGAGAAACTAAGGAGATGACAGCATTTTCTTATGTGATAGCAATACGGAGGAATATGGGTTCAACTATGTTTGGGAATATTTTGAGATCAAATTTGCTACTATGGAGGTCAGTTATTAGGAGGAAACAATTCTCCACCTGGGAGAAAAAAGCCTCACATAATTAATACACTTGTGAATTGGTAGGGTTTTTAATCATTTAGCTTCAATTGTAACTAACTTTCCACTGTTGTTAAATTATTGCTTCCTTGACAAACCATAAAATATTGCTGTAGACAAACTAAAATTTCCAGAATTAATATAATTTCAATCTTCAAAGTAAAGGTGATTCATAAACAAGCACCAATAATTAATTGTTACACTTTTACAAGACTTCACAAATTAGAAAAAATGCCTTGGGCAGATTGTATTTCTTATGGTTCTGGAGCAGTGGACCCACAGAATGTTCTAGAGCAGAATTTCTCACCAGGTGTATACAGACACCCGAAGAGTTTTTGAAAAATACTCACGTCTGGGAGCTATGCCTATAGATTTGAAAAGCATTCTGCTGGCTAATATTGGGACAAAGCAAAACTAACCTTAGAAGTTCTGAGTCCATACCTATATATAACCACAGTAATCAAATTCTCCTTCTTTCACAAGCAAAGCAGCAGCTCAGAGTGGTTCCAGAAAAGCAAGAACAACAAAGCTCCTCTCTGCTCACCTCTCTGGACTGGGCCTTTTTCCGTTTCCATGCACTTCCATGAGCAGCTCAGAAGAGTCAGCAGGAGACGCGATACTTGTGTTGAGCAGAAGGTGTTCGTGCTGAGCCAGGTACTGGGATGGGGTCTGCTTAGCGGCCCGAGCGCAGTGCAGCAGTTCTCGCTGCAGCAGGGGCAGGTTGGCCTTGAAAAGAAGAGGCAGGGGTTGGAAGGCAGTTTTCCCAGCATTGAGCACTACACAACAGGGCTCATCACCTCAAAAGGCCTTCACAAACCAGATGACACAAGACAAAAGCCCTTCTCTCCATGTCAGTCTGGTTTCCACAGGCCTCTCTACGAGTAAAGTGACATCTATTATACTGATCTTGAGTTATCGGTTGACTTGTCTCTTGCCCCTACAAGATGTAAATCCCCTTAAAGAGGAGACTGTGCTTTATTTACCTCTGTGGCCTAGTAACAGAGTCAAAGCTCAATACTGGTTTGTTGAACATAATAATTTAAAAACTTACACATTTTTGAAGACTTCGGTCAGAGAATTAGTACTGCCTAGACGGGAGAAGGAGGAGTTCATTCTTTCCTCTATCATTACAAGTCCTGGTTTTTCTCTTCTGAATCCCAGCTCATCTCTGATAGCACTACTCAACCTTCCCTTCAGTGATCTTTGAGAGCTACCATGGAATTCCGGAAACAGTGATTATTCTGGCTTGGTTGGAACATGGGGTTTTGAAAAAAGCATTGGGAATGATGGGAATGAAGGCAACAAGCCTTAGACTAGGTTCTGAGGATAAACAGGTAACACACGGGCACAACCTATTTCTGTAGTGTGGCATCCTAGTTGGGCACGTTTCCTTATTTTGTAAAAGGATAATTAATCATGTACCGATTATTTTTCCTTCTCCTCAAACTTAGAAAAACTTTAAAGGTGACAAATCATATAAAAAATGCTATACATCTTTAAACTTAACTCTAATTTCTTCATATATAAAATGTACTTTTCCCATATTCCCTTTCATTAAAAAAAAATAAAGAATTATATTTTTCTCCCCAAATTTAAAAATAATTTAGACTGAGCCCATAATAGAAGTCTCTATCCCACGGGAAACAGATGAGCAAGTAAAAGGAGAGTTTTAATACATGCAAGTAGTCATCCTTTTACCAAGGGTTAATTTAGCAGGCACCATAATTAGTGACTGTTTTAAAGCAGAAATAAATTGACAAAAACCCAAATGCTAACCAAAAAGCTGCCATAACAACCTACCTCATGCTGTTTTCCAAAGTAACAGAGTTAAGAATAGGGAATTTGATGATACAGAACACTTTCTAAGTCTGTTCTATAACCTCGACCTTGTAGCAACTGTAAAAACTTAATTGAAAAAAATACCATGTCAGATCTTTAGACATCTGTGACATGTGCCCTTTGATGAATTAAAACAAAAAGCTAATTATTTCCTATTACACCAATTCCACAAATCTCTCTTGATTCCAGAGTCTTAGGGAAATAACCGTCTACTGGCTCTGACATACAGAAGAGAGACCAAGATAGAACTAGCACAGCTGTTTCGGGGCTGAAAAAGGCACCACAGACTGCTCTGAGAGGGCAAGGCTTCAACACTACCAGAACAGAGCCACAACACAGGCCAGGTACCTGAGACCTGTGCATTTTCCTGTATGCCTGCTATGCTCTAATTTTTTTTTTTTTCTTTTGTGAGGAAGATTAGCTCTGAGCTAACATCCGATGCCAATCCTCCTCTTTTTGCTAAGGAAGATTGGGCCTGGGCTAACACCTGTGCCCATCTTCCTCCACTTTATATGGGACACCACCACAGCGTGGCTTGACAAGTGGTGTGTCAGTGCACGCCAAGGATCTGAACCTGTGAACCCCGGGCTGCCAGAGGGTAGTGCGCACGCTTAACTGCTGAGCCACCGGGCTGGCCCCTACTCTAATTTTTCAAGTTATAAAAAAAAAATGGTAAGATGACCCATCTTTTTGATGGTACTATATTTTCTTAGGAAAAGAAGCTAAAGTAAAAGGAGGTAAAAGGGGCATACTTACTTGGCTAGATACTTTAGGCTTTGTAAATCAAGAGGCAAAATTGAAAATATTATATGTGTATTCATATACAAGGCAGAAGAAAATAAATTTCCACGAATACTCTACTGACAAAAGTCAAATTACAAACACAATTGAGGTACAGTTTTTTTGTACTATCATTCTACTACTAATGAAAAAAATGGAATTTATTTTGGGAGGGGTGATGGATTGAGGATAACATGTAGCTTAATTGGGCTTCAAAGTTATTCTTCCATATTATCAAATCCATTACAAATGTTCACCTGTAACAACCATTCCAGGGCTGTACAAAACCACGTGTGGGCTGGATTTGGGTCATAGGTTTCCAAACTATGCCTGGTCTAAAGCACACTGGTATCTGACTCCAGTCTTTCATGGCCTTTGAACTATTTTACAACTCTGCAAGTTACAGACAACTGACAGCAATGCAAAATAACTGTTGCCTATGGACATGCATAAAATTATGACCAGTAGAGGTTCAACCAACTTCCCTTGCCCACTGTAGAAGCCAATTTTACTTCTGTTTGCACATTCACATCAATAATCCTGATCTAGGGGCTGGCCCCATGGCTTAGTGGTTAAGCGTGCGTGCTCTGCTACTGGCGGCCTGGGTTCGGATCCTGGGCGCACATTGACGCACTGCTTCTCCGGCTATGCTGAGGCCGCGTCCCACATACAGCAACTAGAAGAATGTGCAACTATGACACACAACTATCTACTGGGGCTTTGGGGAAAACAAAAGAGGAGGATTGGCAATAGATGTTAGCTCAGAGCTGATCTTCCTCAGCAAAAAAAGAGGAGGATTAGCATGGATGTTAGCTCAGGGCTGATCTTCTTCACTAACTAACTAAATAAATAAAATAATCCTGATCTATAAACGTGTTTGTTCTGTGGATTCTTCCCCGAACTGGCTGTAAGACCTTACTGATTTCCTTACCAATAATGAGTTAAATAAAATCTTCGATGTGGGTTCATTTTTTATCTGTATGAGTCATAATTTTACCTGTTTTTGAAAATTATAGTTAAATAGGAAAAAATGGTAACTTGACAGTGGGAAAGCATGGCAGAGACTGCCTTTACGAAGCGATCAAAGTCAACATCACCAATTCTGAGACAAGTTAACATCTCCGTCTCCTGAGAGCACGCAGTGATACCACTTACTAGCTAGTCCTGCCTAAAATGCATAACTCGATTCTAATCATGAGGAAGTATCAAAAATATGAAAATTGAGGTATATTCTATAAAATAACTACCCTGTACTCTTCAAAAGTGTCAGGATCATAAAAGGCTGAGAAGCTGTTCCAGATTAAAGTGGACTGAAGAGACATGACAATGAAATGCAAGATATGATCTTGAATTAGATACAGGACAAACAAAAAATTTTTTTTTCTTTTCTTGTAAAGGATATTAGTGGGATATTTGGTGACACATTAATAAGGTCTATTGATAATAATGTTTTATCAATGTTAATTTCTTGATTTGATAATTATACTAAAGTATTTAGATGTACCATGTCTGCAGTTTACTCTCAAACATTTCTGAGGAAAAAATAAATAGAAAGACAAAGAGAGAACAATAATGCACATGTGATAAAATATTAACATTTGGAGAATCCGAGTGAAGGAATTTTATTGTACCATTTTGCAACTTTTCTGTGAGCATGAAATTATTTCAAAATAAAAAGTTTTTTTAAAGGGGCATATTACATATAAATCTAACACTGCTTCACTTATCAGGTAAGCACAATTTTGAACAGTGTCCCCAAAAGTTATGTTCCAGGGAACATACATTCCAGAGGACAAAATCAGAAGCCCGTCTAACTAGGGATTGGAGAGAGCAAACACGGCCTTTCCACATGCTCTTCCGTCCTTAGGTAAATCCAAACTGTGAAGGCCTCTCCTTTGCCTGACAGATTCCTCTCAGATAATGCACACTCTTCACCCTCTGGCTACAACCAAAAGATTTATTGTCCAGTTACTTCCTCTGCTAAGAGCCCAGCCCGCACACGCCATTACCTATACCTCTGGCCCACTCACCTCCTGCTCCCCTGTTGACCTGCTCCTTCTATGTGTTACCAGCAACATCTGCATACAGACCACAACTGAAGACTTTTGTAATTCTCATCTCATCAAGTATAAGGCTTATCTGCAGACTGCCCTCACATTTCTCTAGCAGCCCAAAATAAAATAAAGTCATGAAAATACGGCAAGCCGCCCTGATTTAAATCACATAACAGGGATCACCAGCAGATCTTGAGGAAATGTTGAAGATATATTACATTTGGTAATTATCTCATAAAAATTACCTCGAGGAAAAATAAAAGTCCAGGACCAGATGGCTTCTCCAGTGAATTTTACCAAACATTCAAAGAAGATTTAATACCCATCCTTCTCAAATATTCCAAAAAATAGAGGAAGATGGAACACTTCCTAACTCATTCTACAAGGCCAACATCACCCTGATACCAAAGACAGACAAAGACAATACAAAGAAGGAAAATTATAGGCCAATAACGCTGATGAACATAGATGCAAAAATCCTCAACAAAATATTGGCAAACTGAATACAGCGATACATTAAAAAGATCATACACTATGATCAAGTGGGATTTATACCAGGGATGCAGGGATGGTTCAACATCCGCGAATCAATCAATGTGATACACCACATCAACAAAATGAAGAATAAAAACCACATGGTCATCTCAATAGATGCAGAGAAGGCATCTGACAAGATGCAACATACATTTATGACAAAAACTCTCAACAAAATGGGTATAGAAGGAAAGTACCTCAACATAATAAAGGCTATTTATGACAAACACACAGCCAACATCATACTCAACAGGGAAAGTCCGAAAGCCATTCCTCTGAGAACAGGAATGAGACAACGCTGCCCACTCTCGCCACTCTTATTCAACATAGTACTGGAGGTTTTGGCTAGAGCAATTAGGCAAGAAAAAGGAATCCAATTAGGCAACGAAGAAGTGAAACTCGCACTATTTGCAGACAACAAACCCTAAAGAATCCATTGGAAAACTATTAGAAATAACAACTACAGCAAAGTCACAGGGTACAAAATCAACCTATAAAACTCAGCTGCATTTCTGTATGCTAATAACAAACTAACAGAAAGAGAGTTCAAAAAGATAATACCAGGGGCCGGCCCCGTGGCTTAGCAGTTAAGTGTGTGCGCTCCGCTACTGGTGGCCTGGGTTCGGATCTCAGGCGCACATGGACACACCACTTGTCCGGCCATCCTGAGGTGGCGTCCACATATAGCAACTAGAAGGATGTGCAACTGTGACATACAACTATCTACTGGGGCTTTGGAGAGAAAAAGGGGAAAAAAAAGGAGGAGGATTGGCAATAGATGTTAGCTCAGGGCTGATCTTCCTCACAAAAAAAAAAAAGATAATACCAATTACAATTGCATCAAAAAGAATAAAATATCTAAGAATAAATCTTACCAAGGAGGTGAAAGACCTATACAATGAAAGCTACAAGACATTATTGAAAGAAATCAATGATGACATAAAGAAATGGAAAGACATCCCATGCACATGGATTGGAAGGATAAACATAGTTAAAATGTCTATATTACCTAAAGCAATCTATGGATTCAGTGCAATCCCAATCAGAATCCCAAAGACATTCTTCACGGAAATAGAAAAAGGAATACTAAAATTCTTTTTTTTTTTT